AAAGGGAATATTTTAATCCAATCTTCTATTGAATCTTGACCAAAAAGAAGGACATGCAAAACAGCAGTTCAAATTTTCATGGATTCCTGACTTCTGAAGCCTTGGAGGCCAGAGAAACCTCACTACTGGCCTGAAATCATTTTTAAACCTTTAACCAGAAATATCCCTGGAAGCAAACAGCGGTTTCACTTAACAAGTCCAAAAGCTCTGTCTTGAGCGTTCTGTTCTTCCAGGAACTATACTGGATCGAATTGACCACAACTCAGAAAATCAACGGGGAACCTTCGAAGGCGTGGGCTGCTAGTAATGAGGGAGGAAGGGCCCGGAAAAGGAGCGCATGCCCGCACAACTCGAAGAATGCACTGCACTGTGCATGTAGAACCTGCTGGACTGGTGTATGATTTGCTGGGTATGTTCTTAACAAAAAAATCACAATACACACGTGTGTGATTACCTATACATACATATGTCAAGAGTTTAAAAGAAATTACATATTGATCTGTTGTTGGAAATGTTGTGACCAGAGAATCAGGTATACTTCATTTGTTGAAAACCTTGGATTTATGAACACTGGACTATGCCTGGTTGCCCGTGTTAAGCAGTGAAATCACCTATAAGAAAGGCAAAAAAGGCCATGAAAGAATACGAGTTTCCACCTGAGACAAGGGGACGGCGCCTCTCTGTGCTCGACCTACCTTAGTCAGAAGCTTGTATGTCAGCCAGTTGCAACTGTCCACTGCGTCATCGTTCTGCTCCGAGAATGCCTCCCAAAGCACCAGGGGTGTCCATGTGACCTTACAAATAAATGCCAAGCAGCAGGTAAATTCACAGTTCAGACTCCACGGGTGATGAGCATCAATTTTAGATCATGTCCTAGTTACTGAAGAAAGAAGCTCCTGAAGGTCGGTGGTTTGAACCCACCTGCAGCCCTGTAGGAGAAAGGATCTAGCAGAACTTGCCAATCTGATTTTTTAAAAATCATTTTATCGGGGGCGCTTAACAGCTCTTACCACAATCCATCCATCTATCCATTGTGTCAAGCACATTTGTACATATGTCGCCATCATCATTTTCTTTTTAATCATTTTATGGGGTGGGAGTTGGGGGTCAATCTGCTTCTGGAAATATTTCCACCTAGGACAGTCGGGGCAATTCCATTCTGCCCTGTGAGGTTGCTATGGGTCAGAACGGAATTGACAACATACAAGAACAGCTGAAGAGATGTTTTTAAAAACTGTGCTGCTGCATCTCTACTGGAATACAGTAATATTGCCTTCTGTGACATTTTGGTATCAACTTTTTCCCACTGGGTTTATATAAACACATTCTCTCACTACATATATAAAAAGTGCTGCGGTCCTCTAGCCCAGAGTAAGCATGTTATCAGAATCGCCCAGTGGGCTTTGTCGGGCAGCACAGCTCATGCTCCGTGGCAGCGACTCTGATTTTCCTCGGTTGAGAACCACTGCATAAGGTCACATTGATCACTGGCAGTATCTGGCCCCTTAAGTTTGTTCAGTAGATACTTCGTAAATACAGCCGAGGACCAAATCCTGTTTCCGGTCCTGAGGAATCTGGCCACGTCTGCTAGCTCGGTTCTTATCATGCTTTTCTTCTCAACTGCAGAAACTCAAGGGAATGCTAATGATACGTGCTAGGGATAAGAGTAAAGCTGAGCTGATATCAAGGGCTCAAGCAGAAAGCAAATGTTTTGAGAATGATTATGGCAACAAATAAACAAATGTGCTTGACACAATGGATGGATGGATGTATTGTGATAAGAATTGTACAAGCCCCCAATAAAATGATTAAAAAATAAAAAAGTAAAGCCAAGAAGGTGAGGGGTGGCTATCGTAAATGATGTCTCTGCAGTAATAAACAAAATAGAGGTGGCCATAGCTGACCGCCTCTGGCTCCCTTGTTGCCATAAGGCAAGAGTCAGACTTGCATCCACACCTCATCTCTCGTGACCTACTGTGTTAGTCCGGGTTAACAGGAAACAAATTCATTGACACTCGAGTATAAGAAAGAGCTTTATGTAAAAGGGCAATTGTATATTGATAAAACATACAGATCAAGTTCATAAGTCCCATATTAGCCCCTAAGTCCTTTACTAGTCCATAATTTTCTCTCACGCAGCACATGCAATGATGCTGAATGCAGGAAGATCATAGGCCAGTCGGTGGCAGTCTTATGGATCCAATGGCAGGGGAAGCATCTCAGCACTGGTGCGGATCTCCACATGCCTCCTCCAGCTCTGAGTGTCTCAACAGCAGGAAAGGGAAGGCAGGGAGAGTGGTCTATCCTCCAGTGAGCTATTTATCTCCGTAGAGCCTCCAAATGAGATCCTCAAGCTGCGACCTGATTGACTGGCTAGACTCCACCCCTTTGCTCAAGTTGACAGGAGATAATGTAACTGCCACACCTCCTGTGCCTCCCGCACCACTCTACATCCATCCTGGGTTCAAGAATTCATTCCAGTGGCCACAAAGAACTCTCAGACAATACTCATGGTGAGGGGGTTTATTTGGGAAGTTAATAGACCACCACAAGTCAGGAGCAGCAATCAGTCAGGATACAGTCATTGGTCTCAGGCAGCAGCCTGGTGCCTCTCCCTTCTCAGCCTCTCAGCCACATGATAGCCAAGTCTCTCCAGTCCTCAGTTTCCCAGTTCCATGGCCCCATGGCCTCTGCCTATATAATGTAATGGTTACACCTTGGGCCGCCAGCCACAAGGTCTGCAGTTTGAAACAGCAAGCTTCTCTGCCAGAGAAAGACTGGACTTTCTACTCCCGTAAAGAGTTACAATCTCAAACCACAGGGGCAGTTCTACCCTGTCAGGTCGGGTCTCATCTCATGGCAGTGAGTTTGGTTTTGTGCTGTAAATGGGCCATGAGCCAGCCTGCCTGTCGCTCTGCCCCACAGTTCCCTGGTCTCAGTGCTGCTGTTCTTCAGACAGAGATCTTGGAAGTGCTTTCCCCAAATGGTTCCAGATGGCTCATCCTTACAGCCAGGGGGCTGGCAAAAAAAGAAAAAGGTCAAATCCCCTGACTAGTGGCCCTGTTTGCGTCGTCTCACCCGACCATCTGGTGGGAATTAGAGACGTGGGTAGATGAGCCATATGAAGGAATTTCACTGCACCACACCCAAAATGCAGAGCGGAGAGGAGCAGGGCCAGCCGCTGGATAACCTCATGTCACAGCCGGGGGACCGCTGTGACCAGGAAAGGGCAGTGAGAGGAGCTGGAGGCCCTGGTCACACAGCTTTGTTGGGTGGCTCGCTTTCCTCTGAATGTGATGGAGGTGATCAGGGCCATTGAACAGAAGGGAGTTGTCATCCTGGCTTTCTGCACAAGGGTCTCACTGGCTGCTGGGTGGAGGAGAGACTCGGAGCGGGAAGGCAGAGCCAGGGGACCATTAACATAGTTCAGGCAGGAAATGACAGTGGTTTGGACTAGAGTGGTCACTGCGGAGCTGCTACATGAGATTGAGGGCGACTCTGCCGGTAGCTCCCCGGAATGTATTCAGCAAGACGGCTGGTAGCACTCACCTGGCAGATACCACCCCTCCAGAGCCCGCAAGTTCGCTCCCGTTGTCTTATTCTCGGGACCAAAAAAGTCGAACCAAAGCAGCTACTGTCAGGTTGATTCTGATGTAAGGTCATCTCCTTTGTGCCTGAGTCAGGGCTGATAGCTCAGAAGTAGCTCACCAGGCCTTTCCTCTGCGATGCCTCCGGGGCCGTCGGAACCACCAGCTGCTCACTTGAGAGCTGGCTGCTTAACTGCTTGTGCCACCCAGCGCCTTCTGTTCACCAGGGGGGAGGCAGCAAAGGCAAACTTCATTTTTCCTGCTTTTCGTCTGCAGGTACCAGCACGTGCTACACCGAAATCTGATTTATTTGGCTACCATTGCTGACGCCAGCCCAAGCAGCACTCCAAAACCACTGGAGTAGTCCTCCGTGGCTGCTGTCACCCTCCGCCTGCAGAATGGAGAGGGGGGTGTTCCCAACTTAGCTGCTGAAAATGGGGACGCAGCCTCTGCGACGTTTGACGAGCGAAGAAAGCTCCTGGGTTACCGTTCTCTTCAGTGCACACATTTAATACCGCAGATCCCTCCGTGTTGACCTGGTGGCGGTGCCGTGGTGTAAGCCATGTGCTGCTCACCGAAGGGTCAGACACTGATACCCCCCAGCTGCTCCGAGGGAGAAAGAGGAGGCTGCCCACTCCTGGACAGATGACAGTCTTGGAAACCCTGTGGGGCAGTTCCAGTCTGAGCTTCAGGGTTGCTAGGGGTCAGCGTCATCAACTTTGGGTGGGTTGGTTCTATGTTGAGCCAGGGTAGCCTCTGTGCTGACATGGGGGTCCCACCCTCAAGCCTGCTGTTTTAGTGTCAGTCTGGGGGGAAAAAACAAAACCCTGCATGGATAACTGGACGATCAGCAGGGAGTGGGGAGACTCCTGACTCAGACCTTGCTAAACGACCCCATGGTCCCCTCCTGCCAGTCGGGGTGCCTGAAACCGCTCTTCAGCATGCTTTGGCATAAAGTCTTCTTAGCCACGGAAGACTAGTGTGGAGGTGTAAAACGTTTCAGTGTAGTAAGTGTCCCGCCCAGAAAAAAATAAAATAATAGTACAGCATGATTGTCAAGTTCAAAATTAATAGAATGAAGGGGTAGGGGGTCTGTGTCTGGCAAAAACCTATCCCAGAAGGAAAACATGTTTTCTACCAACGAGCAGGCAAGAACAGTGCTAAGACCCTGTCAAAGGGAGAACGCCCGAGACCCAGCGAATCAAGGCATTCCTGTCCAGTCCCTGCGCTCAGCAGTTTCCCTGTGGGTCTTCGTCGTCGGCACAGCAACATGGTCAGAGCTTTCAGTTGTCTTTCTCCGGATCAGGATCCAAACAACTTTCATGCATTGCGCTTGGTTATGCCTCTCATTCTCTCAAAAGCCTTGAGCAGGTCCTCGTTTCTGTTCCCCTGCTGTTGGTGCCCAGTGCCCGTAGTTTCTCCGGAAGTCGACTTGCTCAGGCAGCAGGAGTGGCATAGAGGACACCATTCTGCCAGCGACCTCTGAGACATGCACAGAAGGTCCCAGAATGATCTAGCTGGCAGACCCTAATTGGGAGTTGCCACCAGCAAGTTGGTGCCCCGATACAGACAAGCCAAGTGTGCCCTGACACCCCCAGATGGCAGAGGAGGCAGAAAAACAATAGGGCAGGCCCCAGAGGTGGCTACTTACTGCCTGCACAAGGGGAGTGTGACCCTGTAGGAACAGTCTGTTGCCATCTGTGACCCCCCTGAGAGATGGATGAGACTGCTGGGGAGCAGGAGCTCAAGGAGCAAGCCAATCAGCAAACGCAGCTTCCTGTGTGGGTGGGGCAGCCTTGACTTGCTGGAGGACAGGGCATCCAGGACCCGCTATGTGATGTCCCCTTGTCTGTTTCTGTCCCCAGTCAGCTGAATGGGGACTGATCAAGAATGTCACTAAGGGGCCCTGGTGGCTTCAGCCATAACCCACCTTCCACCTCAGAGGGCCCCTTCCGTGGCCTTGTTAGAGCAGCTGGTGCTGGCTGGTCAGGGGTCACAGTCTGGTCCAGCCCATCCTGTCCTGAGAAAGTCGAGCTCCTGCCACCCTCTTGAAGGACTCCAAACTCAACATTGCTGTCAAAGGTGATGGAAAGGGACTTTAGCACCCCTCAGAAAAGCGCTGCTCCAGGGCGGGCCGTGCCCACTGAGAATGGAGCGAACAGGTCCTGAGGTCAGGCTGGATCCCGGGGTGGCGCAAAGGGTTGAAGGTTTGAGAGACCACCCGGAGACACAGTAAAGCCTGCTGGTGGTCTGCTCGCAGGAAAGGAGCCCCTGAAATCCCTATGGAGTGCAGTTCTACTCCGGCATGTGGGGACACCAGGAGTAGGAATCCATACAAAGGCAACTGCTTTGATCGTGACCGCATGGCTGGGAAGGAGGTGGCTTTTACTGCTACTCCGTGTGTGCCCTTGAACCCTTTTCCCCAGCCTGCATTTCTGAAGGTACCCTGAGTGCATTTTGTACACTGAGCACACAGAAGCTTCGTTATTGTTTGTTTGTTTTTAGAAGCTTCATTTTGGGGTGCGGGTCTTCTTCACTCATAAAACAAATATTCTTTTGAATATTTTTAATTTTAAAAGACCCACATTTACAGACTGCCTTAGTTTGTTAATGCTGCTATAACCAGTAGGAAAACTAACTTGCTGGGGGCAGGGTCTGCCAGGTGGGGCATTCTGAGAGTCTCTCGGAGGTCCCTGGTTCCACAAGTGGGTGACTTTAATAAATTCATTTGATCACCTCCTAGGAGGCTCCGAGTCCAGATTCGGGGCATCAGCTCCAGGGCTCTCCTTGTTGACTCATGGGCGTGGGTGGGGACGTGGGTCCTGATCTCTTCCCTTCCCAGCCTCTTAGGGCTTTCATGTCAAAGGACACCTATCTGCCCCCATCGCTGCCAGCTTTGTTGCCATTGAATTGGGTCTCTTCATATCTTTAAAGGAGATGGCTTTAAAACCCAGCCTACACTAATGCAAAAACTCACTGTCAGATGGGAGTATGCTGCTGTTAGGCGCCCTGAGTCAGCCCTGACCCATAGCCACCTGAGCACAACAGCACGAAACCCTGCCCGGTCAGTCCTGCGCCATGCCCACCGTTGCAGTCATGGTGTCAGTCCACCTTGAGGGCCTTCCTCCTTGGGGGATGATAGCCACAGGTCTCATGAGATTACGGTGGGGTGCCTGCAAGCCACTTCCCACTCATAGCCACCTTTACGGCAAAGCAGAACCACTACAACAGAAGCAGAGTGCCTCGTCCTGAAGCAGCCCGTGGGTTTGAACTGCTGACCTTGTAGCCCGATGCTTAGCCCACTGCACCAGCAGACTGCTTAACAGGGCTGGAGATTCAGATTGGCAGCATCGTTTGGGGGACACAAACCAATCCCTAACACTGCGACCTAGATGTTCTTTTGAGTCTAGGCCCGTGGTCTCAACCTTCCTCCTGCCACAACCCTTTAATCCAGTTCCTCATGTTGTGGTGACTCCCCAACCAGAAAATTATTTTCCTTGCCACTTCATAAGGTCGTTCGACCCCCAAAAGGGTTGCGGCCCACAGGTTGAGAACCGCTGCTCTAGGACCTTCCTTTCCAAAGCTTTAACAAGATTCCAGGACCCAAGAGGAGGTGTTTACAGTTCTATTTGTATTAATTGGTTCATTAAAATAATTGTTGAGCATTTAGTGTGTGCTGAGGCTACTTCAGTGGGGAAGCTAGACACCATCCCTGTTCTAGAAGGTGCGTTCTTACTGCAGAGAACCAAGCAGAGTCAGGAAAAGCATCGCATGGGAAGCATTCAGCAGAGAGTGGGCTGTGGTGGAGTGTGTGGGTGGGTTCTTTAGATTCCTGAGTTTGGGAAGGCTTAAAGAGGCAATGCTGCAGCTGAGATCAGAATAAGATGGACCACCACGACATAGCAATGCAAAGGCAGCGTCTCCACAGCTGTTGTTCACTATTTTTCTCTGGCATCCATTAATGACAGTCGGCTTCAGTAAAGATTGACAGCCTTGGGAACCCTTTGGGGCAGTTCTCTTCTGACCTGGAGGACGGCTGTGAATCAGAAGGGACTTCCTGGCAGTGCGTTTGGTTTTTTGGGTTAGTCATCAGTGTGAGAGTCACCAGAAGGAGCCCCGGTGGGTTAAAGATTGGATTGTTAATGGGTACCAGCCCCCACAATCAAACGGGTCCAAGGGGCGGTTTTGTAATTGAGTGGTAACATTAAAGTGACATCGGACAAGATAAGGCATGCAAGGACTCACCTCCAGGACGGCCATGACGTCAGGAGCCAGATCCACACATAGAATATATTTCCAACCAAGCTGAGGGGGTGGGGGCGGTCGTGCAAGCCCCCCTAATTACAGGTTAGCACCTCTGTAACAAAGTGGGCTGTACCCTAACCATAAGGTCCCTGAGTGTATAGTAGGAGTAACCTAACACTAGTGCCCTAGGCAGGTAAGGGGGAGTGGCTGACTTCACAGCAGAGAAAGCAGTAGCACTATAGCAATTAGCCACATGCTTGGAAGGTAAGAGGTAAATTTAAGGCAGTACTATTATGGGAGGATATAGTGTGGAACAACAATAATTATGAGAATGTGATTGGGATCCATCTCCAACTCACAAGGGTGAAGGACTCCCTCCACCTCAGAAACCCAGCCTGCCAGGTTTCTTAATATATGAGACACTCTTTCTGTCCTCTGATCCCCACAGCTAATCTCAGGCTTGGCAGATCAAACCCACCAGCCAATCCACAAGAGAAAGGTGACAGTTTGTTTCTGTAAACGTATAGTCTCTGAACCCCTATGGGGAAGTTCTACCCTGTGCTATACAGTCACTATGAATTGACTGGAGGCCATGGGTTTGGTTTTTTGGTTTGGGATTTCCAAACCGTACAAAGGGCTCAGCACTGGGGACTGCAAGTCGGAAAGTTGGCTGTTTGAAGCCTCTTAGAGGCTCCTCAGAATCGCACCCACGAGATCTTCATTCATAGGGTTGCCATGATTTCGAATCTGGTCAGTGGCAACAGACAACATTGACAGATGTAGACATCACTTTACTTATAACTGGATTCCTCTCAGGTGAGAAAGTGGAGGAGTGTTAGCACCAGGCTCCCAGGGAGCTCCTAGACCCAGCTGATCAAGGACGCATCACCTGGGCATAGTGGGAAAGAAACTCAAAAACTCACTGCCACCGAGTCTATTCCAACCCTCATGAGCCTACGGGACAGGGTAGAACTACCCCTGTGGGGTTCCGAAACTAACTCTCTACAGGGTAGAAAGCCTCATCTTTCTCTCACACACTAGCTGGTGGTTTCAAACTACTGACCTTGAGGTTAGCAGCCCAACGCATGCAACACCACTTGGGAATTACTAGTCCTGAGAGCAGCCCTCAACCCACTGCCACTGGATCCACAAGACTTCAAAACCCACTGGCCTGTGATCTTTCTTCCCGCGTCATTGCATGTGTTGTGTGACTCTGAAGAGGAAATTATAGACAGGTATCGGACATCTGGGATAATATTGGACTTACGGAATTGATCTGGACTGGGCTGGGATGTTTTCTCAATATACAATTACTCTTTATATAAATCTCTTTCTTATAAACAAAAAAACATGTATTTAGAGGAGACATGCAAAATGAATCATGGCCTGATATATAAACTCAATGCCATAGCGTACAGCAAATTCACCCACAATTTCTTGAGCTGTCTCATCAAAGTACACCTTCCATGCATCATCTCCTCGCACCTTGGGGATCCAAATTTCTCCACTGCCCCGAATGTGAGGTAGTAAAATGTTTACTGCACATGATACGGGGCTACCTCTCCTCCCCCTTGATCTCCACATTGATTTGTAGTCGGATAGCCCCTGAGACGGCTGACTTGTCTGGCCTCTTCTCCAAATTGTACCAGACGTCCATTTCGCCACTTAGTGTTCAAACTTCAAGAAATCATCTAACTCTTGTTTCAGCCACTGTTTTACTCTCAATGTAATGTCATCCACCACATCCCACACATGAACCTTAACATAGTCAGTGGAGTTGTGGCACTCAAAATGGAATTTCTCCTCCCAAATAGGATTTAGAACTTAATGTGGACCGGGTTAGGATGTTTTCTCAATATGATTGTGAAAACAATCCCAGAATCCCCAGGAGAAGGCCACGCCCACACAAAGGCCTCATTGGTTATGACCTGATTGACAGGTTACACTCTACCCCTTTGCTCAAGTTGACAGGAGATGATGTAATGGCCACACTGTACCTTTCAAGGGAGCACAGCCTCACCTTTCAGCCATATTAGAAAAACCGTCAGATCCAAGGACTCACAGCCACGTGGAGAAGAAGCCAGTCATCAAGTCAAAGTAAAATACAATGAACAAGGATCCTACCTGACATGCAGCATCTGTTGCAGTCGGGGTTTACGCATGCTGGATGGGATCAAAGCGCCCCAAACCCTGCAGCAGCAAACTCACACAAGTACAGCCTGGCTTTAACACAGTGGTTCTCAACCTGTGGGTCAAGACCCCATTGGGGGTCGAACGACCCTTTCACAGGGGTGGCCCGATTCACCACAGTAGCAAAATGACAGTGATGAACTAGCAGCGAAAATAATTTTATGGTTGGGGGGTCACCACAACACGAGGAACTGTATGAAACGGTTTTGACATTAGGAAGGTTGAGAACCGCTGCTTGAACACAAGTCAGTGGCCAGAGATGACGGGGCATCTACAGTTGAGGGGACAGCCATCACCTCAATGGCCATCTCCGTGCTACCTCACACTCACGTGTTTCTCTAGGATGGTGACTGGCCCCGACTAAGCTGATCCATCAGAGTCCCTGTCCGTGACCCTGGTCACTCAGAATGACCCACAGATGGGCATATGCACCTCATCAAGCCAATCACTTCCTCCCCAGATGCTTTCCAACAGCTACGGGCAGGAAAAAGGTTTCTACCTAGCCCTGGGATCTGTGCACAGGCTGCCACTGCCAGGTTCCCTGCCCTTCGGTGCTGTCAGCTGTCCCCATCCTGACTAATACCACAAGTATATCATGTGATCCAAATACACATTTACCTTGAATTCCTCCAGCCGCAGATTGTGACAACATGTGTAAAATGTCGTTGTCCATCAGGGAAGGTTGGTAGAGACTCCGTGCCCAAGGTCTGGATAAGTAACCGGTCACATATGAGGAGGCTTCAGAAAGTCTGTGGAACGTTGGAGTTAAAAGATAATGGGATTGTTTCCATGAATTTCCCACCCCCACCCCCACCCCCCCGGTAGGCATACTCTCCCTAGTACATAACCAAAATTCCAGACTCTGGGAGGAAAGTCAGTGTTCCACTTGAAAGATATAATTGTACACATACAGCTTAGGCACAGTGAGCACTCCTATCATTTAGGCAGAGGTTTATGTTCATGGAGGGAATTGTTTACTATGTAAGTTCCCAGACACCAACCAAAGGCTTGTCTTCCGTCAGTCCTTGCTAAGGATAGCAGTCTCGGGCATACTGTGTGAACTCTTTTTATAAAAAATGATCAATTCCATCTACACATTTCCCCACCAACTTTCTTGCTTCGATTTTCCAGAGTCATCCTCTGAAGTCCCAGCTGTTATTAGTAATCCTATAAAGGTTCAAGACCAGAATCGTTACCTGGAAAGCCCTGTGTTAGTCCGGGTTGACTAGAAAAACAAATTCATAGGCACTCATGTGTATAAGAAAGAGCTTTATATACGAGTGCAATTGAATATTGAGAAAAAATCCCAACCCAGTCCAGATCAAGTCCATAAGTCTGATATTAGCCCATATGTCCGATACCAATCTAGAAATTCCTCTTCAGAATCAAGAAACACATGCAATGATGCCAAATGCAGGAAGCTCACAGGCCAGTGGGTGGAAAGTCTTGTGGATCCAGGGGCAGAGGAAGCATCTCAGCGCTGGCAGGGGTCTCCATGTGGCTCCTCCAGCTCCAGGACTCTAGCATAGCTCCATGTGTCTTCTCAATAGGAATGTCTCGCGGGGAGTGAGTGTGTGTCCCACCTCCAGCGAGCTATTTATCTCCTTAAGGCCTCCAAATGAGGTCATGAAACTGTGACCTGATTGACAGGCTAGACTCCACCCCTTCACTCTTCATTCTCACATTGACAACGGATTATGTAACGACCACCGCCCCGACCAGGGATTCCTTCATTGTAATAATGACCACATCACACCTGGGCCTGGATTCCAGTCCTCTGTTGCTCTTGGCAATGACGTGGGAGGGAGATGTCAGTCCTTTCCTTGGTCTCTAGCTCTGTTCCAAATGTTTCTTCACCTTTACCACTGACCACATAGCACACGTTACTTACCTGAATGTGATCTGAAATAGAATTTTAATTCACAGGCCAGATTCAAAGAATATTCGAGTAAGAAGAGACTTTAGAAGGTATTCATCCTACTTATTTTACAGAGAAGAGTCTGGGTGGCCTAGTGGTTACAAGTTGGGCTGCTAAACTCACGGTCAGCGGTTTGAAACCACCAGCTGCTCCTCAGGAGAAAGATGAGGCTTTCTACTCCAGTAAAGAGTTACCGTCTTGGAAATTCATAAGGGCAGGTCTACTCTACCCTAAAAGGCAGCTGAGAATCGGAATCAACTCAATGGCAGTGAATTTGGTTTGGGATTTTTTTTTTTTTAATCATTTTATTGAGGGCTCATACAACTCATCACAATCCATACATACATCAATTGTGTCAAGCAC